CATTGAATTAGGGAAACACATGTCTCATTTAGGTTTTTTTGATGATTGTGGGCTTTAAAAAGACTGTGTTTTAAAGTCCAATGAATATAAGCCGAATCAAATTATAAATGGGCATGCGTGAGACATAAAGTAAAGCAGTCGATTGTCAAGGGTATTATAGTCATTTTACGAAGTTTGGTTTTCTTCTTCTATCAGACACAACTGCAAGTCTGTCTAGTCGAGAGGTCTTCTCAGATAAATATATACATACGAATATACAATCATCTTTAATAAATTTTAAAGCATGATTACAATCAATTCTCTCTCAAGTTGAGGCAACATAAACCAAATTTATGAAAACTATATAATAAAAAATTAAACATAATTATATATGAAATCATATAAAAACTAACCAATCAAAATTAGTAATATATTTCAAAAAAGACATAAAATACTTTGAAACAGAAGGAAAATAACAAAAAAAGTGACGAAGAAAAACAATGATTTAGTAACACAATTCCAATATGCAATAGTAATCATAAATTTTTTTTTTTTAAAAAGACGTGACCCAATGATTTAATAATAACCATAAAACGGATTTTTCGATATACCGATGACTATAAAATGGTCCTAAAACTGTTTTCTCAAAAAATACAACCTATAATAGAGAAAATAAAAGATGTGACGTTGTAATACACGGATAATTATAAACAGATTGTTTTTCGAAAAACATGATCCTAACAAATAACTATAAAATTGTTTCGATAACGTTATAAAACAAAAAAGTTGACCTAAAATCTTTAGTTGAGAAATAAATGATATTTTTGTTAAAATTCAAATACAAGCTAAACCATACATAGTCATCCATAATGAATTATGTTTTAAACTTTATCTACGATTATTCACAAATATAAATTATTTGGAAAGTGATTTGTGAGAACTTGTTTAATATTAGAAATTAGAACACAATTAAAATCTTTTAACTATAATTAACATTTTTAAAATTTGTTTTATATAGGAAAAACTGAATAAAATTAATTCGCGTACAGAAAGTCATTTAGTTTATATTTATCTATATATAGTAGTATAAAGTAGTTATTCTAATGAAAATGTGTCATTTGAAGAGTTGTAACTTTTTAATTAGCAGACATGTGATTGTTAATATAAAAAAGATAAAATATTTAAATTACATTAAACGAAACTAATTAAAAAGAAGACAATTTTAACTCAAAAAACTGTTTAATAACATTGCTGTAAAAAAATGTTAAATAACATTAAATAAAAATGATTTGGAATTTTAAAATGTATTAACAGAATCGTAAAATTAGATTATATATGTAAATACCGTCAAGAGTATTGGTTTTCTACTACACATCAAAGTTCTATTCAAAACTGTAGTTATGAAATGGTTAAAATAATTACGCGTTTGAAGAAATTAGTTCTCATTACACATCAAAGTGGAAATTGGTTATAATTTTGTAACTTTGTGGATTCGTCTTTTGTAATTGTCATCATTTACCCATTCACAAAAAATAAACTTAATTAGGCACTGGGAAAAGAAACCCAAAAGAAAAAGTTATCGTATACCTACTATGAATCTAAAACCGAGAAACTTTTTGTTCTGACCTGAGTAACCTAAGTAACCAAAAAAAAAAAACTTATAAACATTGTACTTGTTCTTTAATGGTAACCTAAGTAAACAAAAAGTCTCCAACATGTTTCTGTTAAATGATCACATACAAAAACATGACTATTCCATCTTAAATTCCTAATCATATTTTTTGTATCGAATGTTCGRAYACGTTAATGGCAACAACCTTAAACCATAGTACTTGAAATCCAAAATGATTTAAATAACAAGACATGTAAATTTAAACACATATTAACCGATAACATATCATTTGCCACTAGGGATTTTTGGAGTTATGTGAGAAAAGAAATTATAGTGATAGTGACTCTCAGTGATACTTAACCTTCTATCTCTCTTCGCCTGAGGGATATAATATAACACAAGTGCATCGGGACACGAAACAGACCCGCCAATGTTCAGAGTGATGGACAATCTGCAAGATTTTGCTGATTTAAAGAAGTGAACTTATCTCTTGTATAACAGTCTAAGAAAAAGAATATAAAAAAATAAACGCAGTTGAATATGTTATTGAAAGAAACAAAAATATCATTCGGAGTTTGATTTCAAACTTTTAACTTGAATTATGGGAAATATTCATGATTAACAAATTGTTCAACAGAGAAAGAGATATATATAGACAACCATTAGCGATTAGTTTGAAAAGACCCAACCTTCAAAAATAACCATTAGCGGTTATTTTGAAAAGACGCAATTTTTGACACAACGGTTACAGTGAAAAGACGCAAATGTCAAAACAGTTACATCGAAAATACGTAACTATTCGTAATAACCACCAAACATGTTTTTTATGAAAAGACGCAACACTTGAAAAAACAGTTTAAATGAAACAATGCAACTCTTGAATATAACCATAAACGGTTTTGTCGAGAAGACGCAACCTTACAAAATAACCGTAATGCGGTTTTATCGGACTCTATAGCAAAAATATATAAATAAGAGACGGTTTTCCAAAGAGACAAAATAAAAATATTCATTTGTAAAATATTCTTAGAGGTGAAAAGAAATAAATGAATTGTAGAACCAATAAATTTTTTTGTTAAATAAATGCAAAATAATAGAATGACGTTTTGTATGAGTTTTAAGTTTTGAGTAATTTGTAGAACCAATAGCCATGACAAAAAAAAAGGATGAACAAAAGAAAGATCAAAACATATATAGGAAAACAGATTTTTGATAGAACGGTTATTTTAAAAAAATTATAATTTTTAGGAATAATCACCATTCAGTTATCATGAAAAGACGCGACTATTGACGTAGGAAGTAACCACCAAGTGGTTATTATGAAAAGACGCAACTATTGACGGAACGGTTATATTAATATCTTAAAAACATGAAAATTTTAGGAAGTAACCACCAAACGGTTACACCAACGAGATAAAATATATATATAGGCAAAACGGTTTGTTTCGAAAAGACGCAGCCCTTACAAATAACTATACAGCGGTTATGTTGAAAAGACGCAACTCTTGACAAAACGGATATATCGAAAAAACGCAACTTTTGACAAAACGGTTATATTGAAAATGTGCAAGTTTTGGAAATACCACCAAACGGTTTTTTTTTACGAAAAGACACAAGCTTTCGACAAGACGCAACCATTAAAAACAACCACTATAAATAAATCGAGAATTAACAAAACAAAATATTCATTTTTTTATGATCGCTATTATATATAGATATATCAACAATAGGTTTTGCTTTCAATTCTTTGCCCAAGAACAAAAAAAACAACACAAATTTTTATTTCGATTGATCTCTCTGTTTTCTTCTATTCCATCGAACAAGTGATCAGAATCGATGGATTGAACATAAAGTTAAGAGTATTGAAACGGCGGAAGCAACCGGAAAGCTTCGTCTTAATCGCTGAGAGGAGAGAAGAGTCACCGCTTCTTCGTAAGTTTCCGATGAGTCCTCTGCGATCGTCGATTACGGCGGCGAAGGAGTCTTGTGTGATCGACGGAGACGACGCTTCTCTGCCGATG